GCGACCGTTAATAAATTTTCTTGTCATTAGTCCAAAGGGGACTTTTTTCTTGGAGTTTATTGATGCATTAGCTGAGTCACATGATGCAAGAATGTTAGTTGACCTGCTTGGAAAAAAGGTTGAAGAAATTGGCAATGAGCATGCTATGCAAATTGTGACGGATAATGGAGCAAATTATAAAGTGGCAAGATGATTATTAGAACAATGCATTCCTGGTCTTTTTTGGACACCCTGTGCAGCTCATTGTATCGATCTCATGCTAGAAGATATTGAAAAAATGAATGAATTTAAACCCTACATTCAAAAGGCTAGGGATGTCACCACTTTTATTTATCAACATGGGAGAATTCTCAGTGCAATGAGGGAAAACACATGTGGCAGATATCTAGTGAGGTCGGCGGCTACCCGATTTACAACGCATTTCTCACTTTGTAGAGTTTAAACAAACATAGGAATAAATTGAGGCAGTTATTTGTGAGTGATGATTGGAGCAACAATAAGCTGTTGAAAACATCAAAAGGAAAAAAAAAATTATGAAAACCATTCTTTCATCGAAATTTTGGTAAAACCTACATTCAAAAGGCTAGGGATGTCACCACTTTTATTTATCGACATGAGAGAATTCTTTGTGCAGCGAGGAAAAAGATAGGTGGCAGAGATTTAGTAAGGCCAGCGACTACCCTATTTACTACCGCATTTCTCACTTTGCAGAGTTTAAACAAATATAGGAATGAACTGAGGCGGTTATTTGTGAGTGATGATTGGAGCGATAATAAGTTGTTGAAAACATCAAAAAGAAAAAAAGTGATGGAAACCATTATGTCATCAAAATTTTGGGATCGGGTAGAAGATTGTTTACGGGCAACACTTCATTTTTTAATTGTTTTAAGGATTGTTGATGGTGATGAAAAGCCATCCATGCTTGAGCTTTCTTCGGCTATGAATCACGCGAAGAAAAAGATAACTGAATCTTTTACGAGCAATAACAAAACAAGGTTGTTGGCCAAGTTGATGGAAATAATTGAGGGTCGATAGAGCGATCAAATGGAGGTGAAGTTATATGGGGCTGCACTATTCCTAAATCCTTCAAAATATTTTGAATTGAAAAGTGATCTCGTATTTGCTCGTAAGCAACGTCAGTTGTTTAATGATGTTCTATAAAATATGGTTAAATATGAAGAGTTGATGGATAAGATTAGTGGTAAAATAGAGGATTACGTTACAATGCGAGGAAGCTTTGGCCGTCAATTGACAATCAAGCATCAAATGCAAAAGAGTCCTTGTAAGCTTCTTCAACATATATATATTTTTATTTTCTATGAAACTTAATTTTAAATTTTGAATATATTCCTTCTTATATATATATTTTAGTTGATTGGTGGGATGCATATAGTGGTGACAACGAAGAACTTTGATCACTTTTCGTATAGACTATTAGTCTATGTTGCTCTTCTGCCGGTTGTGATCGCAATTGGAGCACATTTGAATTTGTAAGTAAATTTGTTCGAAATTTACTTATATTAATATTTTAGTAATAATCTTCAAATTTTGATATAAAGTTTTATTTCTAAATTCATACCAAGAAAATCAATAAACTAGAGCACAAAAGGCTAAATGATTTGGTGTATCTTCAATATAATCGAAAAATTGCATATCGCTTTCAAAAGCGCCGGGAAGAAGAAAGCAATTTTAATCCCTTAATTATTTAAGAATTTCAATAGGACAATGAATGAGTTGATGATTCTAGAGATTTGGTTCATGAAGATGGAGATCTTGAGTGGCATCCGTAGGTGCTTCAAGTAATTTCAATAGTTCCAACCTTCGTAGTAGAGGTGTTGGTGAATCCTCAGGTCCGCCCATCGTGTATGACCATCGCCATGGCCCTTTTAACAGACGTTTGGCAAATGAGGATGAAGAAAATGATGAAGATGATGATATGAACACTGAAGACTAATGTGAATTTGAGAAATTGAGGGTTTTTTTTTTTTTTTTTTTGGGGTTTTGAAACTTTCATATTTTGACATATTGGTATTTTGATGGTTATGTTTAGTATTTTCATATTTTATTTGAAATTTAGAGATTTGATGTTATAATTTTATATTTTATAATTAAATATTAGAAACTTATAATAACCAAGTCGCCGCATTGCCATATTGTCACCATTTTGGGTGCCTTATCGCCTAGGCGATATGGCAGTCTAATGGCTCCGCGACTAAATAATCGCCGTAACAACCTTGGTTTCTACACTCCCTTGGTTTCTTTCTAACAACAATAGGTAAATTCAATTCATCATCAACAACCGGTTCACCTGTGTTTTAGTCATGGTAATATTATAACTTCAACATGTGAGTTCGGATCAGAAGTTATTACCTCAGTTACTGGCTCCAGGTTAGACTTTTGGGGATTCCTGCTGGTTATGGGACAGCCTTTATTCCCGTCCTTTTGTATTTCCTTGCACACCTCATGTCTTCATCAAGTTTTTTAGCAATATCAGGAGCAATAGGAGTAGACAATGGAGCAACATCAGCAGGAGCAGACAAAAGATCAGCAGGATCAGCAGGAGCAGATGAAGGATCAGCAGCAAGCGTAGATTCAGGCAAAGGAACAGGATGAGGAGCAGTAGGAGCAGGTTCAGGCAAAAGAGGACTACTATCGGGACTAGTGGAGAGATTAAGAGGATCTAGAAAGAAACCCTCTTGATCTTTATCTTCCTGAGATGGGTACTCTAGTGAAGTAAGATTCATTCTCATTGAATGTGACATCTATTGACACAAATAATTTCTTGGATGGAGGATGATAACACTTTTATCCTTTTTGAGTGGAAGAGTGCCCTAAAAAGATATATTTTTGGGCTTTAGGATCCAATTTTCCCCTGTTTGGACCATATATATGAACAAAAGACACACACCCAAAGACTCTAGGAACAAGATTATTCGTGGTTCTTAAGTCTGGATGAAAGTATGGGAGAACTTCCATTGGACTTTTGTGGTGCAAGACACGAGAGGACAAATGATTTATGAGATGTGTGAAAGAACTGTTTCTCCCCAAAAGGTTTTAGGTACACCATTCTGAAACAACATTGCTCGAGTTTTCTCGAGGAGGTCACCATTTTTTCTCTCTGCTACTCCATTTTGTTATGGAGTATACACACAAGATGACTCATGAATAATTCCATTATTTTGAAAGTAATGAGTGAGGACTTGGTTAAAATAATCCCCGACATTGTCAGACCTAAATCTCTTGACACAGACCCCAAATTGATTTTTGACCATTAAGCAAAAATTTGGTAGAAAAGTACTAACATCAGACTTGGACTTCAAAAGGAACAACCAAGTGACACGGGTACAATCATCAATGAAAGAAACAAACCATCGTGCTCTAGAGACACTAAGAATAGTAGAAGGATCCCATATGTCAGTATGAATGAGGTGAAAAGGAACAAAACATCTTTTATTACTAATCGGAAAAGGCACTCACTTATGTTTGGCGAGTTCATGCATATCACAATGAAATTTCTCAATTCTTAAATCCGAAAACAAGGTGGGAAACAAGACCTTAACAACCTTAAATGATGGATGTCCTAAACGACGAGGTAAAAATGAATTTTCTCTTTATTGGATAAACGGATTTTTGAAATTAGACCTTTACTCTCAACCAGGTTCAGTTGTCTTGACATCTCAAGGTAATAAAGGTTGTCCTTTACTTTAGCACGTCCAATCGTCCTCCCTGAAACCTTGTCCTGAAACACACAACAACTACTATAAAAAACAACATTGCATGATAGATCTTGGGTAAGCTTTTGTATAGAAACAAGATTGGTGGATAATTTGGGGACATGAAGGACATTTTTAAGGGTCATGGTAGGGTTTATTAGAACATCTCCTACTCCTGCAACGGTTGTTAGAGATCCATTAGCTGTGGCTATTTTCCGGCTACTAGGACATAGGGTATATGTTGAAAAGTATTTAGATGAGTGGGTCATATGATCGGTGGCTCCGGAGTCCATGATCCAAGAATTGGTAAAATAGTGTGTCCGAAGCATTTAATCCAATAGAAATAGGAAATGTACCTGAATATACCAATGAACAAGTACCTGAGGACTTCTCAAGATGGTTTGTTAGAGACCTTAGCCTCTCAATTTCTTCCTAATTTAAAGGCCACTCAGCTCTTCACTTTGTGGTGCAACAGCGATGTGTACTTGTCCAGCATGGTTTAGATCTGACACATTATAACTTGCAGCCTCCGGTAATCAGGACTAATAAACTTTGAGAAATAGTCCAAAACTCAGCAATTGAGGCTGGTCGAACGGAGGCTTAGTAGAATCAAGAACAGTTCCTAAGAAAGAACTGCTCTGATACCATCCCAGATTTTGAATAAAAAATCAAACGAAGAAGAAGATTAATTCTATAAAAAAATTGTATCATGTCACATACAAAGATTGGAAGACTTATATACAAAAAATCCTAATAAAAATTGAAAAAAACTATCCTATATCTTATTCCATGAATCATGGGATCATCCTCTATTTTATACCATGAATTATGGGATCACTAGATGTACAAAGGAAACAAGATATTTGTTTTCTAAATAAATCGATTCACATATTTTTTTCACAATATATGCACATTTATACATTTGAATTTGTAAATATTGGTTAAAATAATGAAAATTGATTGATTATAGCGTAGTTGTTTGGCTTTGGAATGATTAGTCTTGAAATAAATGTATATCATATCATATATTTATAAATAGCAATCAGTACGGATGGCTACCTACTTTGAGATTCTTACCCTCATCTATTCTTTTTTATTTCATATATATCCCTCTCTCTTTCTCTCAAAACCCTTCATCCTTTACTCGAAGTCGCTGCCTCCAAACCCTTCCACCCTACTTCCACCCTACTTGAAGTCTCCGCCTCCAGCTACTCTCATTCCTCTTGTCGTTGTTATGGCCTCGTCATTGTTCACCACGGTCGATTTTGGTCTTCCCTTCTCGCGTTCATTGGCGAAGGGTTCTTTGCAACCAAATTTTTAATAGCGTATATTCATATTCGGAGAGTCAGTTATGCGGTTTTTTTAAAATTTTTTTTTTTTCGGGGTTCAGCTTTTCTGCAAATTCTATCTTTCATAGAATTTATTCACAAACCCACCGGTAAGATTTGAGAGCGGATGGATTTTTAGTTGTGTGGATGTTGTTAGGGTTTTTTAACTTTTTTGTTTGGTCTTCGTGTTGTAAGGAATCGTTTTGACTTGTGTAGTACTTCTGTTTATGCAATGGAGTGGATGGACTCATTTTGTGCTTTCGGTTTTTAGTGGTATTTCTGAGGTTTGTGTTTATTTCTTTGATTGAAATTTGTTTATTTTTGTAGGAAATAGGTGTTCCATTCACGGCGATGGCAATGTTGTTGTAGAAAAGTCCACTACTTTCATGATTTCCTTAGTGACCAGAGCCAAGAGTTTTGCTGGGGTTTCCTGCCCTCAGCCGGCCACCCCCAATTTGAGGTCTGGTAAGAAGAATAGATGCATCAACAAAACCTGGGAAAGTTGTCAATTGATCGAAAAAATCTGGGAAAGTTTCCATGATGTCAAATTGATGGACAGGATTATGATATGGTATCTTCATCAAAATCCATATTTTCAATCACCTTACGAATGTTAATGTTGCCGGTGCCACTTAATCCCTTGTTTCTATAAAAATTCAGGAACATAGATTTAATAGAGACTATTGACCTAAAAAACCTTGTAATTAATGCAGGCATCACAATGCACTCTGCTAAAGCTAGGAAAGAGTAGCAACTGTTTTGTTATTAATTTTGGGCTGTATGGTTAGGTTGGTGCTTGTATGATATAGCATTTGTTTATGAAAGTAATTTGGCTTGAAACTTTTTGTCGAAGTGGTTATTTAGATTGGATGCTAAGTTAAGGTATTAAGTTAGTCAAATAAAAAACAAGTATGCTATGATGGAATCAGAATAGAGCTTTGGCATTTGAATCCCTATTGTAGGTCCCCAAACGCTCAACTCGCACACAGCAGCACCAAACACTTAGAAGAGCAATGAACCAGTAAATACCTAAAGCACATATTAGTTATTTGCTTCTTGGGCAAACTACGAATGCTTACAGTAATGAAGACAATGGAAATAACACAACCAAGATGTTAACCCAGTACGGCTGCACCAGCCTACTTCTGGAGTGTTCCAACCCAGGCGTAATCTCTTATGAAAAACATCGAAACTTCAAGATACATGGACATCATTTAATCTACCTGCGTCAAGAAATTTTCCATATTTCTTAACCCCTCCTCAACTTAAATGCTACCCAGGCTATCTCTCCATATTCTTATGTTTTTCTGATTATTTTTTGTATATCACATTTCCACACCTTCTCATAATCTAACAAACTCTGCACTAAAATTCCCACTCACCTATTTGTTGAAAACCGAATAGATTCCTCCTTTTTCACTTGCAGGACACCTCATCACCTGAACCACACTCACCATCGTCAATCGGTTTCTGGGACACAGGCTAAATGGGCCTCCTTAACAATTGGATTGAAATGACGAAGGCCTAGTCTTCAATTGAAACGACGAAGGCCCAGTGTTCAATTGAAACGACGAAGGCCCAGTCTTCAATTGAAGTCCATCTGTTGTCCAGACTGTCTGCAGACATCAACCAAAATCCAAACAAACGACTAGTAACAACAATCTTCCCCTTGTTGGTTGATGTCTTCCAACCGACAGAGATTTTACATGAGTTTTTTCTTTTTTTTACAATGCCAAGCAACACAGAACCTAACCACCTCAGAACACACATACATCACAAAAACAACCAAGGACAGTTCAAGTTCACATCACAAAAACATCAAGCCAAAATACAGAATGCAAAATAGCAATGCAGTCCAAGTTCATAATTAACCCATACATAAACACCATATACCAGTACTTCAAAATCAACTTACTGCAAACCATGCCATCTTTCCTCCTGAAATATGATATATCTCCCCATTTGGGAGACATCAATCAAAAGAGTTGTTGGACTTTCCATCATCCTCTATAGCTTAACTCCCGACACCTGGAATCGCTTGTTGAATTCTCCTAGCAATTTTTCGCAAGTCAACTAAATGAGTGGAGAGAAAGACAACTTCTTGATCCAGTTTTTGTAATTCCCGGCGAAGGTGAGCAGCGAGAGCATCCCCGACAAGGCCGGACCATCCTTAAAGTCGTCGTGTGCGAAAGACAAACTAGAGGGTGGCCCATGGGATTTCACTTCATGTGTCACCTCCCCATCTCGAGGCTTTATACCTAACAATCCTAGCAAACCTGTGATTAAGGCAGGGTACGGAAGATTCCCCGACTCGGAAATCTTGTCTCCAGTGAATTTTAGCATCCTCTCCAGAACCACCCGACCAAAATGCACAAGCGAAACATGATTATCAATGCAGTAAATCAACATCCCCATCGAGGAACTCACCGCAAAACCATTCTTTGTTGGGAATATATTATATGCACAAAGATGGTAAAGACAATGAAGTTTTACCGTAAGAATAGTAGGGCTAAATCCGGGACGTCCAAACTTCGACCCTTTGTCCCCAGATATGAAGCGAGCAACAGTATATTGAGGAACTCAAAGATAATGACAGGACCATGAGCATGAGAGTTAACAGGCACACGAAGGTACTTCGAGATTATATCTGGTGATAGATCAAACAGTTTTCCCCGGATGAATATTTTATGAAACCAAGAGGGAGAGGGATCCTTAATCTCGGAAGAGAGGTTACAGTAGAACTCACGAACCAGAGAAGGACAAAATTCCCTAAGAGAGGAATTCCAGACCAGCACGACCTACTCGTTGGTTGAGTTGTCGCCCAGAATTTTAGCTTCTTATCTTTTAAATAGGCCTCAAATCCAAGTTCTTTATATTCAGAATCCTCAGATCGTACTCAGGTATGAACTCACAGTGAACATATATATCATGCATATACTCTATGGCTTCGACAGTAAAGAAATTCTCATCCACAACATCAACTACATCCAAAGATGGGATAGAAGACTCACCGGCCGCTAAATCGGAGGCTGCACGACGGCGTTTGCATCCCCTAGATCGAGTTTGAATGTTTCTCAGGACCGTAGAAAGAAGAGTAGCATCCCTTTCGTCATCCTGCTTTGTCAGTTCAATGCTCGGTCCACCATCAGATCCACTAATACCAGGGTTCACAACAGGGAGTTGTTTAACAGATTCCCCAATAACTACATTTTCCAACTCTTCACCCGAAGGGACAACATTGATGTCTGGAATATCAGTGTGAGAAACCGGGGCATTTGAAACACCAGTGGTGGGTTCCATGACAAACTGGGGTGCATATACACGATTCCTTCGAAGATGTGATACATTAGTATTGCGCCTTGAAGATAGTCCACCTCGACCACTTCGTGTACGCACCATTTGTAGGGTTTAAGAGGATTGCTTGACTTGAGCAATGAAATAGGGAATGTGTCTATTCGACTCTCAGGAGTGATCAGGGGATGTGATAGCAGAGAATACTGTCGCACGCTTTGGCTTCACGAAGCATTTGATGAAGCTTGTGCTCTGGGCAGACTGATTACAGACATATCATACCATAAACTAGCTTGAGCAAGAAGACAACTGGTTTGGGCCCATAAATTTGGATATATAACAGGCTAAATACATAGGTTCAATACAAACTTAATCCAAATAGGCTTACCAGAGTAGATATTAGGAAGCCAAAACCCTATCAATCATCCACTTCCAAAGATCATTAAAAAAAAAGGGTGATACTATAAAACCAAACTACTACTTTTGTGCAATCACACACATCTATTACTGCAGTAAAAATAAACCAAGGCTCCGACAAAGATTTTCATACTGAGTCGAATCTAACGGTTTTGTCAAGATATCTGCGAGTTGGTGAGTTGTCTGAATGTATTGAAGACTGCATGTCTCATTCTTAACAAGATTACGATGAAGTGATACCAGGTATCAATATGTTTAGTCGGGCTATGCTGCACTAAATTCTTCGAAATGTTTATCGCGTTTGAATTATCACATGTAAGAGTGAACTCCTTACATTGAATCCCATAATCTTTATACATTTGTTGCATCCATAATAGTTGTGAACATCCTGCAGCAGCGGCAACATATTCGGCCTCGGCAGTAGGTAGCGCAATGCAATTTTTTTTATTTGAAAACCAACTAACCAAGTTATTACCAAGGTAGAAACATCCACCCGACGTGCTTTTTCGATCATCACAACAACCGGCCCAGTCTGCATTTGTATATCCTGCTAACACCAATGACGATTTTCTTGAATACCAAATGCCAGTTTCAGAGGTTCCCTTTACATACCTCAGAATTCTTTTCACGGCTTTGAAGTGTGATTCTTTGGGGTTTGCTTGGTAGCGAGCACACACTCCGACACTAAAGCTAATGTCAGGCCTGCTAGCTGTCAGGTAGAGTAGGCAACCAATCACGCTACGATATTTCTGTTGGTCCACAGATGCTCCAAGCTCATCTTTTGACAACTTATCTTGCACTCCCATTGATGTTCGAATACTCTTTGAGTTTTCCATATCAAATTTCTTCATTATGCTTTAAACATACTTGCTTTGATTGAGGAAAATCCCATCACCGTACTGTCGAACTTGCAGTCCCAAAAAAGTATTTTAACTCTCCCATCATAGACATCTCAAACTCATCTTTAAGACAAGCCTACAGTTGAACCAAACACAATGTCATCCTTATATATTTGTGCAATCATTACCTCATTATTCTCCCGTTTTATGAAGAGTGTTTGTCAACCAATCCCTGAATGTAGTTCCTTGACTGTAAGTAAGTTGACAGTCATTCATACCAGGCCTGTGGAGCCTGTTTCAGTCCATATAATGTCTTTCTTAGCTTGAACACATAGTGAGGATATTTTGGATCTTCAAATCCCTTGGGTTGAGCGACATAGACATCTTCTTTTAGCCACCCATTTAAAAATATAGTCTTAACATCCATTTGAAATAGTTTGAACCTCATGGTGCAGGCTATTGAGAGCATCATTTGAACTGCCTCCAATCTTGCAACTGGTGCGAAGGTTTCATCATAATCAAATCCTTCAACTTGTAAGTATCCTTGAGCAACCAATCTAGCTTTGTTTCGAACAAAGTTTCCCTTTTCATCAGTTTTATTTTTGAATGTCCATTTCGTTCCTACGATGTTAGCCCCTTCTGGTGGTGAGACGAGTTCCCACACTTCATTCCTTTCGAACTGTAACAATTCATCTTACATGGCTGCCACCCAAAATTCATCATCCAAAGCTGTTGTGATGTTTTTCAGTTCCATCGAGATAAAACAGTTTAATGCAGCAAGTTCTCTTAAGTTAATTGACTTCCCCCTAGTCAAGATCGGACCTTGGGGATTACCAATAATCTGATCCACGGGATGATTTTTGCTACTCAATGATGGTTTTTCAGGTCTTGTCCTAGAATTGCTGGTTCCAGAGTTCGGTTCGTCTGATGTCTGGACAATGTCCAACTCTTGTTCACCGCCAATGTTTTTCTCCACGTCTAAACTTCGAGAGCCATTATTCAGTTCCAATCTCTCTTCATCTGT